TTGTTCGTTATGTGAACCACGGAAATGCAACAAAAGAATGAAATAGAAGTACGGAAAGGACGAAGAACAAGGAAACGATCTATAAACTCAAGTTGATGATGAGCATGCACAACCGTTCAACATGTACGCTATGTATGAAATTAAAGTCGTGAATAATTGTGAATAATCGGGTCCGTCTGAGGAATGAAAAAATAGAGCAGGGAACAAACGATGAAACTGGAGTCTTATTAACAGCAGTCAATTGAGGAAACTCGGAACTTTGAATTTATAACAGAAGTAAAGATTTAAAGAAACAGTTTGAAACTGGGGAAAAATACGTAAACACAGAGAAACATAAATACTAAGAAAAATAAACAAAAAATCTTTTTTCTGATTGTTTTTAATGTTTTACTGGTCCCGACACGAATTAAAAGATGAGAGAAAAAAAACTAGATTCTTGTCTAAGGAATATTTTAAGAGCACTCGTTTTCTTGTTAAGGATGTTTAACCCTCCTCGCACAATACTGGTCGGAAAGATTCCCCAAGCTGCCTTATTCTTTCTGTACGGTCCCTCCTGTCCCCTCATGGAATAGATCAAAACATATCTCTTATATTATGTAAATTTCCTAATTGTTTTCTCATATTGGCTGCTGATCGTTATCAACATTATTTACAACATTATCGGTCATCTCTTGATTAAGCTTTCCAACAACTTACTTGGACACATGACTATTTGAATATCAGGTCCGCAGTAATTTAGTTCTGCTTCTCAAAATCGTTCGATTCCTCACAATTAAAATTTTGAGGAAAAATTCGAAGAAGAGAAACTGCCTAGAGAAAGTAGGTGTGGACAAGACTGACCCGAAGACTAGACACCTCAGATGTAAAATGATAAATATTTACTTTCACATAATTATTTTCTAAAGAACTGAACATGTTCGAACTTATAAACTTAGAAAAGACCATGAAACTAAGTTAGCTTTGTTGGAATTGAAAAAAATAATTTACAGAGAAATAAACTAAGTTTGTAAGCACTAAAGAAACCCGCATTCATTGATTATACATATAAGGCGACAGTATCTATCCAAGTTAGGGGTCAAAGCGTAAGTAATTCATGTATTTGGCCAGTCAACAAGAAGCAACAACCTATTTCCTTTTACCATTCGTTTGAGGTTTGGAATTCAGTTCGGCTTCTTTTTGTAGTAACTTCATTGACTTTTCCAAATCATCTGCAAGGACGTTGTTCAAAACCATTTGCTAACAAGCTTATACCTCCGAACTTCTCAACCGATTTTATAATCTCTTTCTTCAGCATGAGGGCATTCTTACAATAATCTTCGAAGCAATAATCACTCTGGAATTACTTGATTATTTCAACACCACGCGAAAAGATCACCTTTCTGGATGAAGCCATCAGAGTTCTTGATTTCGAAACTATACCTTCCAAAGTCTAAAAACAAGATTTAAACGCTGTGAGTCTTAGAATCTTACATGTTGCAGGTCGGCATGACTCTCCAAAGTTTGCGATTCAGAGTCTTCAATTTTGCTTTGCAATTTCATCTTTTCGAGATCACTACCTTGCAATCCCTTTAATCAGAACTATAACACTCTTTCTTTTTTTTGCGCTTACGCTTCTTTTGCAAATCAAAGTTAAGTCTTCTTCTTCATCATCATCCTCCTCCTTAGGTAGCATAAACTCTTCATCGTCCATTGGAGTGGACCCGCTTCCTTCGTCACAACCTAACTCTTTCACTCTGAAGTATATAGTTAATGGTACAAACAAATGGTTCACAACCTGTCAGCATAACGAAGTGTGTTCAGAGTGTGCTCACAGGAAGACATACCCGGACTTATCATAGCAATCTGACAAAATTATTTGAGATTTGAGAACATTGACTATGTGATTCGAACCATGCAAGTCTTAGCATTTTCGCCAACAAAGGAATC